CCCCAAAACCCCAAAACCCCAAAACCCCAAAACCCCATTTCTCAATCTATTTATTGAACTATGGGAATTTCCTCTGGTTTATCCAAGAGAAAACAGCAATATGACTTTCTTTTTTTCTCCATATTGGTACTAGATGACCTGCACCGTGGAAGATCAAAAAGTCAAGGCCATCAAATTGATGATAAAAGCCTTCAACTTTACCATCAACTACCCATTGCTTTTGATGTTCTTTGATGTCCCATCCTAGGTCTGAGATCCATTTCCATGTTCCAAGAGTAGGGACGACTCCATCTGTATCTCCTGAATAGACTAAAATCTTATATCCATATTCTTTGATTAAGGGGTATGTCCAGAAAGAAGCTTTCTCACTAAATAATCAAACTATAGAACTTACTTTTGAGTGTAGTTAACATCAGAGCAAGGCAAAAAGTACTCCTTTGATTTAGGAATGTTTAGCATCTCCATCACATCTTCTCTGTTAAGATATTCAGCATAGGTTGTTCCCAGCAAAGCATCCAGATCACTCTTTTCATAAAGACTTGGGATGTCAAAATGTGCTGGGGAAGCAAACCCGTCTCCAAATTTCCTGTAGATGTCTAAGGGATTGATATTTTCATCAAATTTACTGCATTTTTCAAGGTTCTCTTCACAAATTTTTGACAAAGGAGACTGGTTGAATGATCTATAAGTACAGTTGTTCTGATCAATACTATCCTTAAGATGCTTTGGAATCAAACCATGGAAATAAGCCATTTCAATGTAAGCAGGACGTGCATCATGCTCCCAACTTGTCATAGGATTTCCTACCATGATCCCTTTCAAATTCAGGAATCCTCCAGACTTAGTAGTGAGATTAGCCTGATGTAGAGAGACTGCGAGCATTGGTACATAAACTCCAACATAACTTTCTCCATTCAGATAAAGATCATTGCTCTTGAACTCCGGATATTTTTGATACCATTGCTTGATAAATTCTAGGTGAAGCTCTGCTGATTTTTCATCAGTATTCTCCTCTTGTTGGTATCCAAGATTGTAGCCAACTCCAAGAGGGCTCTCTACATAAAGAGTAGAGGCATTTGTGTTCCAAGAGTATTGATTGTCGTGGGGAACTGGGTTTGTATCATATCCATAAAATGTTCATGGACCATTTTCTTGGAACAAAGTGTTCATTGCACTTCACCCAGGCCCTCCTGAGAAAATTATGATCAAGGGATCCTCCACAGGATTATTCTGGCTTTCAAGAAAGACATAATGGTATTGATTAGTTTCATCGACAGGGATGTATCCTGAGAAGGCATCAAAGTTCCAATGAGATCAACCAGGTAAATCCTGTGTTATCTTATCTATTTCGACTCTTGCTGCACAGGGACATAAAAGATAAATTAGAAGAACAGAATAGTAACAATGGATCTTCATGAAATAATTCAATTATAATAACTGCTGAAGGGGTTTTGGGGTTTTGGGGTTTTGGGGTTTTGGGG